ACTGAAATTTTCCAATTTCTTAATAAAGTCATTCCCTTCGCTGTTCTCTGTACTTGTAAGAGTAACTGCACTTAGATTCTCCAAAACAGTTGATTTGATCTGGCCCATTTGGTAAGGAATGTCTGACAAAAGTGCACTGTCTGATTCAGATGCAGTGATTGCTGTAGAAATTGGCTGTAGACTCTTCAGGGATTTCCGCAGTTGAACTGAGAAGACATCCTCATCAAGTACAGTGCTTCTAACACTTCTGGGTACTTTAAGATTCTCAGCCACTACTGTTTCTTGAAGAGCCTCTTTGTTTTTTAGAAAACTCTCCAAGGAGATTAATACTCCACCCCATGGAGTTTTACTACAGACTCTCGGTGTCAGTATTTTATTCTTTATGTCCTGTTTTTCTTGCCTCGTCTAAAGACGACAGTGACGATAGGAGATTTTTGCTTGTTGGGTGACTTCTTTTCCTTTCCTTCAGCCCTTTTGGGGATTATCTGGCTTCATGTTGTCATTCAAAGGCAGTGTGAGACAGATATAGCTTCAAACGTGGGCTCTCTCGTTTACTAGCCCTGTGGCTATGAGGACGCCATTATGCCTTTGCGCCTCCATTTTCTCAACTTGGAGACAAGGAGGTTAGACAGATCATCTCAAAGACTTGTCCATCTTTAAAACTTTGTGATCTTAGGAAGCACGTCTCCCACACGAAATGCCCATCCCCCTGCTAATATGTGGGTTTTTGTTTTTATTTTTATCCATTTGTGATTCTTGGTGCTGTTGTCACGTTACCGGCATTGTGGGTGAGCAAAACACCTTGCTGCTTCCTGTCTTCTTTTGGGCGGCACATACTTTGTAACTGATGTATTTTGCCATGTTGCTGTTTCCTCCTCTTTCTGTGCTTTTGCTTGTTTGTTTTTAGGGGGTGGTTGTGCTTACAGTTTTAGAGCCCGTCTCCACTCCCCTCTGTCCATCCGTCTGCAGTGCTCTGTTGATTCTTCCTTGCCCACATTCCATTACACATTCATATCTCTCACTAAAAGAGGCTTGCTCCAAGAATGCTGCTGGGCAAATGGTATGATGGTCTTAGTAATTTGAAAACTTCCTGCAATATGTGTTTTCCATTATTGACAATGGTGTTCCAGAAGAATATATGGCTCTGGCAAGAGTTTGGTCAATTTTTTCCTCCTCTTCAGGTGTCCCCTGTGTACTAATGAAGCCATTGGGAGTCCTTTGTATGTGGTGGCTTGCGCCTCTGTTGGTTCAGGGGTCCTGACAGGCACCTCTTTATGGTGATGCTGATGTCACAGGATAGAACAGCACGGCTGTGTGCCGAACACCGGGAAGCGTATATGCTTCTTCCTCATCATGGGCCTCTTCTCTCACATTTTAAAAATGTCTGAATAGCACTTCCCGGATTCAATTTTTTAACCAGAATTTAGAAATGTGTCTTTCAGCAAACAGTTCTCAGGGCAACTTGCAGCAAGCAGAAGTTTCTGTATGCCGCAAGTTAGCCTGACTGTTTTGCGAGAGGAAAAGCCGAGAGGAAATAAACGTCACGATAGGGTAACTCCAGGTTAGCTGGAGACACCTTTCTAGGCATCTGGCCTTTCTTCCTCTCTCCTGAAGCCAGGTAGGGAATTGTATGACAAAACCTTAGATTACAAGGAATTCATGTGTGACAGGCTATAGGAACCAGGAGGCTGAAAATCAGAATTCAGGTGCATTTAAATTCCTGTTTTTTTTTAAAGAAAGAAGAATACTTCTTTCTCTGGATGCTCTGTAGGCATTAAGGTCACAGGACCAAGAGGAATTGGGTTTCTAGATCTTTTTAATTGCAAAACCTCTGCCTCTTCCCTAACTCTCCTCTGTCTTGGGGCCTTTTGACCAACAAACGCCATATGATTAATTTCTCAAGGAATTGATAGATATTGCTGTCCTTGTCCACTTCAGACCCACTCCACTGAGAGATGGGCAGGAGGAGTGAAACTTTTATTAACAATAGAAGTCAGTGAAAGAAAACCCACAACAGAGCAGATACAGATTCTCTCTTCTGTCTCCCTGGGGGTCTGAAGTGATCTCTTGTCTGACGGTTCTGCTCTGTTGTCTGTTCTTGAGTTTTAGGAAATGTAAAATCTTCGCTATATTAGACAGGTATAGAGGAGAACCATTCTATTTCATGATAAAACTGAGTCACAATAAGTCACTGTCATCTCTTCCCATCTTATAAAAATTCATAATCCCTGTTCAAACTGTTTTTAGAGAAAAAGCAGATTTCAGCATTTACGTTTTGTCCCAGCCTTTACCTCTTCAAAGGAGACCAACACACATGAAACAATGAGAAAACAGTACAACCCACCTGGAATTGGCTATAAGTGCAATAAAGCGATAGAGAATCAATCAGTAAAGTATTTACTAAGCATCATTTATTGATTTCTCAACTATGCAAGACAGAGCAGAAGACGGGACCCTGCCCTCAGTTTGATTATGGTCTATTTGAGGAGGCAAGCCATAATATGATACAGGTCCAATGCCTTACGGAATGTAATGACATGGTCAACCATGCAGCACAGACACTCTAGAAGTTTAGAAGAAAGAAACTTCCCTGATGGGTAGAATGGTAGGCATTTTAAGGCTTGAGTTGGAAAGAGAGGGGAAACTATGAGGAAGAAGAAAATGATACAGCAAAAGCACAGAGAGGTTCCACAGCACACACGCCTGTGAAAACAGTCCAACCAAACCAGGCGGAGTGAGAATCAGAGCTGAGAAAGTCAGATGGGGAGAGTACTCCGGAGGCTTTGGAAGGCTGGCAGAGTGTAGATTCCAGCTGTGGACTACAGAGAACCAGTGGTGGTTTTCACAAGGGAAGTGATATGTTGAAAGCAACATTTCATGAGGACTGGCCAGGCAGCCACACCTGGGATAGACTGGAGGGGCAAGAATGTGCAGGCAGGAAATACGGCGAAAGCAGTTGCGGCAGACCAAGGGCTTGCGCTCAGGAGCTGAGCTCTGGAGGCTGCAGACGAAATGGAGATGCGGCCAATGTAACAGACGTTGCTAAGGGTAATTGGTAACACTTGGTGACTGACTTCATCCAGAGGGGAAGGACACAGGCTGTATCAAGAAGGATTTCAGGGCGCCTGGGTGGCTCAGTCAGTTAAGCATCTGACTCTCGATTTTGGCTCAGGTCATGATCTCAGGGTTGTTCAGGGTCATGAGATCGAGCCCTGTGTCGGACTGGGAGTGGCGCCTGCTTAAGACTCTCTCTCTCTCATGCTCCCTCTGCCCCCCCCCCCCCAGCTCACAAGTACTCTCTCTCAAAACAAAAGAAGGATTCCAAAGTTTTTTGGTTTGGTGGTCTTCAAGAAGTTCTTCAACACACCTGATTGGGGGGAAGATGAATTGGCTTTTATCCCCATTAGGTTTGAGGTGACAACGGGACAGCTAATGAAAATGTTGGGGCGCCTGGGTGGCTCAGTCGATTAAGCGTCTGCCTTCAGCTCAGGTCATGAGTCCAGGGTCCTGGGATCGAGCCCCGCATCGGGCTCCTTGCTCTGCAGGGAGCCTGCTTCTCCCTCTCCCTCTGCCTGCCATTCCCTCTGCTTGTGATCTCTCTCTCACTCTCTCTCTCTCTCTGTCTAAATAAATAAAATCTTTTTTAAAAAAAGAAAATATTCAGCAGGCAGCTGGAAATACAAAAAGCTGAGCTGAAGCTCTGTATACTTAGGGAAAGATAAATCACTCAGATGTGTTAAGGGAGGAGTGAGGAAACTCAGGTCTCAGAAAAGTAGGAGATGAGGTGAAATTCAAGGAGAGAGTGGCAAGGAGAGCAAGGGGCACTTTGGAATAGCCATAGGGAGGATGAAGACTAGGGCACCGGATGAAAAGAAAATGAGCTGGGCCAAATAGGCATAGTTCTGTGACCCCAGCCACACTTTGCCTTCTCAGGGCCAGAGGCACTAGGGTGGGAGAGTGGCACAGGCTGAAGAGGGTAGGGGGACCTGGAGAAGATAAATGGTACCCAGGAGGGCATCACATTGTCTCTAGGGCATGGAAGTGTGGGAGAGGGAAGAGGGCAAATTATTGTCATTAAAGATTGGGGCATAAGTTGCAAGGCAGGTGGTGATCCCTTCGTGGCGCTGGAGGGGACAGGCAAGGAAAGGAGGCCACTCAGGTGCTAGCTGTGTCCCAGAGATGTCTGTGGACTAGGGTGGCTCCCTCATATTGGCTTGCTTTACCTTCACTCCAAGACACTGCTAAGGAAAGCCCTGCCTCCCACCCTCCAGACTCTGGCTAGCAGAAGTTTCCAGGGACAGAAGTCCAGCAGCTCGTGGGAGGAGCAGGTTCTGCTCATTGGAACTTTACCTGATCCACTTGAACTGTTGGCTCAAAGCTCCTGGTTTTCACTTAAGGGATAGTTTTCTATCATTTAAATGCTATAAACCCTAACAGCAAAATAGCCCACTGGCTGCACAGCCCCCCTCCCCCCACTCTCCACACCTGCCAGGCCCAGCACCTGCAGCTCTACCTAGAAAGGACAAGGAAGACCCATCAGCCCCAGTATGGGTGGGGGTGGGGGTATCCTCCAAGCCTGAAGGAAAGATGGGGTGCTAGAGAGGTGAGCAAGATGATAGAGGTCCATTTGGCTACTGGAGAAACCACAGCTGAATATCTGGCCTGAGAGGAGGAATAAAAGCAGGTCATCTCCCTCCCTTCTCCGTCTGGGTTTGGGCTATGAAGAGACACAAGCAAGGGGAAACACATATGCACATAAACGCACACGGAGAGACGCAAAGTGCTACGCAGAGCAGAGGTGCGCAGTCGAACACAGGGCACTTAAGTAACAAGCTTAAACACGTGTACAGGCCGGACCTGCTCATTCAGATATTCTCCCACATGTCTGCGCACAGCTCTTTCCTCTCCAAGACTTTCCTTCCCACGAAGTACCCTGGTGTGAGCAGAGAGGCAGGCCTCTCTCTTCAAGGCCTCACCCCTTCCCCTTTGTGTTTTTCCAGGTCGTGACATGGCGAGCACCACCCTGCCTGGTTACCCCCCTCACGTGCCCCCCACTGGCCAGGGAAGCTACCCCACCTCCACCCTGGCAGGAATGGTGCCTGGTAGGTGACAATGCTGCAGCTGCCTAATTTAGGTGGCGGTGACTAAATTGTGGGTGAGCTGCTGAGTGGTCTGTAGTCTGAGGCTGAGGGTGGGGGGAGACCCAGCGTCCCTTCCCGCCCAAACCATTGCTGTTCCATCCCTCTCTCTCCTTAGAGGCTGCAGTTGGTCCCTCATCCTCCCTCATGAGCAACCCAGGGAGGGAGTTTGCAGAAGTGGCTCCTGTGTGCACCCCAGTGTATGTCATGCCCCCTCCACAGTGCCCACCCACCTGAGCCTGTGCCTGGGGAGCACTCAGCCTCAGCTCCTCTCTCAGTGCCCCAGCCCACTCCCAGCCAGCTGACACTGCTTGGAAGAGCCTGCCCTGGTTTCCATGGAAACTTGGAGCCAAGAACCATTTCCAGGGGCATTGTCAGTCACTCAGACAAAGCCACCCTGGTCCACACCAACCCACAGGGAAAACCAGTGTGGGGAACTGACCCCACCCCAGGGAGAAGAGGGAGCTAGTCCCTAAGGAAAGAGGAACAGAGGACAGGCTATAGCTGGACCCAGAGAGACACTGGCTTCAGAGAGACAAGCTAGAGCACCACGTCTCCTCAGAGGTACCGGGGCCTTCATTGCTCCTGAGGAGTTGGGTCTGGACTGTGTGGATCAGAGAGGCGGAGGCCAGACTTTGGGTCTGAGGACTGCAGCTGGACGTTGTGCTCCTCCCAACCTCTCACCCCAGTTTGGGAGCTGGGCTTGAAGCCAGAGAGCTGAAGGTTCTATTCGCAGAAACACCAAAACACTCTTGTCCTAAAGAGGGTGAGACTCGCTGGGCCTGCAGCCCACTCCTGCTGGTGGCCCTCCCCTGACGCACAGCCCCCATGGTGGGGGAGGGTAGAAGAGGGTGACGAGCCCCATTCCTGGATGTCCATCCAGGGACAGCCCTGGCTAAGCAGAGCTTGAGGGGATGGGCGGTGGCAAAGAGGGAGACTGCCTCCGGGGGCTGTACCACAGGGGCTGAAGGGAGTTAGAGGGACTGGCTACGGAGAGCTGGGAGGTGTGGGTGAGGGGATTTCTGCCCAGATCTGGAGTGGGGGTGGAAGTGTTGGGGACAAGGAGATTCTTCTGGGAAAGTCCCAGCAGTGAGCAGGTGGAGGCTGGAGAAGGTCTTAGAGAGGTGGGGGTGAGGGAGGGGGTGTCTGCAAGGAGGTGGGGATGAGGGGAGCGGCAGAGAGCTCATGGTGGCAAGGGGGGAGTCGTTAAACAGAATCTAGTGCTGATGAGGAAATTACACTTGTTTCATTAGCGATGGGGAAGGAGATAGCTCAGTTCCTCTTGGTCACAGTTGAGCTCAGAAGCTCATTATCCTGCTGCACGCATGCTTTCCCTCCTCGTCAATAAACAGGCTTTCCAGTGGCTGCATCCCCCACCCCCACCCCAGTTCCCTCTCAGAGAGGGGCCCCTTCTCCTCTACTTAACCCGCGGTTAGGGATCACTGTAAACAGTCTGGGGTCATCACACAGGAGAAAGGGCGAGGGGGAAACCCGGAGGCCTGGCCTTTCTCCCGCGGAGGGAGGGAAGCAGCTTCCAACAGCTCCCAGCCCACGGGGCCCTCGGCTAACCGCTCGCGGACCGGCGGGCCGTCCACCTGCTTCCCACCGCCTCCTTCTCCTGCTGCGTGGCCCGTGTACCGAATCTCTCGAGGGAAAAGCGGGAGAGGGGTGTTTCCCAGCAGAGCCCCCACCCTTGCGTTGGCACCGTGCTGAGATGCCATTCCTAGGACTTTCTGGGACAAAGTGTCCCGAGGGCCTTCCTTCACCACCTTCCCCCCGCTTCCACCCCGTGGGGCTATGGCTCCTAGAACCAGAGTGTCCACTAAAAAGGCCCTGGCCCCCAAAGCAGCGGGGTAGACGCGCTGGGACCGCCCCCCCCAACAAACCCCGGGTGGTCCGGAGCGCCTCCTCGGGGGAGCCCCAAGACCCCAGGCCCGTGTCCGTGCTTCTGCACCCTCCCCACCATGGGCTCTCCCCACGCAGACCCGGTGGACTGCTCTGCCTCCGTCTGCCCTCACGCCCTTGGCGGGCATTGCTCTGCCCGCGGCACCTGCACCTCGGACCCGGGGGAGGCCGCTGGCCGGGCACGTCGGGTCCGCCCCGGCGTTGCGCGTGTCTGATCCCCACTCCACCACCCTCCCGCAGGGAGCGAGTTCTCCGGCAACCCGTACAGCCACCCCCAGTACACGGCCTACAACGAGGCTTGGAGATTCAGCAACCCCGCCTTACTAAGTGAGTACGCCACCTGGCTGGTCGGCGGCTCAGCGCGTCAGCCCGCGGGCCCGCTCGGCCGGGCCGCTTCCGACGCCGGGCCGACTCCCCGCGACCCAAGCTTCGGGTGCCGGGCGGGGGGGGCTCGTTAGCGCAGCACTGAGGCCCGGGATCCCTTGAGGACGCCCGCGCCTCCTGCCCCTTCCCTCCTTTTCTCTCCCTCCCCCGGGGCTAGCAGGCTCTGCGCCGCCCCCACCCTCGGCCCCTCTGGAAGGTCCCCACTCGGGCGGCGGCGGTCACCGATCGATCGGGTCCCTCTCCCACCGGTGAATGAACCTCTCCCGGGGGCGACAGGCCCCGTAGCCCAGCCAAGGTGTCCCTGCCCCGATCCCGCCAGACCCCAGCCCCGGGAGGTCTTTGCTTTTCTTTCCTTTTTTGTTCTCCTGTTTGTCCTCTCACCCAGCCCATTCTTCTCCTGTGTTAACTTCCAGGTTCCCCTTATTATTATAGTGCCGCCCCCCGGGGCTCCGCCCCTGCCGCTGCTGCCGCTGCCTATGACCGCCACTAGTTACCGCGGGGACCACATCAAGCTTCAGGCCGACAGCTTCGGCCTCCACATCGTCCCCGTCTGACCGCCCACCCCGGAGGGAGGGAGGACCGACGCGACGCGATGCCTCCCGGCCGCCGCCCCAGCCCCACCCCCATCCCAGGAACCCTGCAGCCCTTCACACCACACCCCGTCGAAGGCCGGACAGGACGGGTGGAGCCGCGGGCGGGACCCTCAGGCCCGGGCCCGCCGCCCCCAACCCCGCCCGCCGCCCCTCCCCGCCCGCCTGGACCGCGCGGCGTCGAGAGGAGGGCACACCCCAGCTCGCCCGGGCTTGGCCCGAGCCGGCCCCGGAGCCGAGCAGCCACGCCGCCAGACCCTGGCCGGGCCCGCCGCTGCGCGCGGGGGACACGTTTCTGTGACACACAATCAGCACGGACTGCAGCGCGGCCCAGCCCCGGGAGCAGCCGGTCTCGGACGCTCTGGCGCCGGGAGGTTTCGCTGGAGGGACTGGGCGAAGGAAATTAAGAACAAAACGATTTTCTGCAGAAGGAGGAAGAGCCCCCTGCCGAACCCTCCGGGAAGAGTCCTTACCCTCGCGCTAGCCGGACTGCCCCCACCTTCCGAGTGTGCCCTGCCCCCACGAGGTGGAGTGGAATGGGGGCGTGGGGTCCGGGCTCCTGGGACGGGGGTTGGGGTCATCAGGTCTTCCCGAAGTTGGAACCCAAGGCACGCAGGCCCCAGCCGCGCGGACCCACCGAGCCCTACTCTTGGCTCGTCCCTACTCCACCTGAATCGCCTGGTTCCCCAGGGTCCAGGCACTCTTACTACGGACCGGACTCTCAGCCCCACCTTGCCCCTACCTCAGCGTCTCTTTCATCTGCCGACCTTCCATTCTCCCCTCATGCCCGTCCTTTTCCCATCCCACGACGCTCCCCATCTCTCCTCCCTAACTCCTCGCCCCTTCGGAGGCTCTCCAGTGCTTGCCGCAGGACCAGTTTCCGTAGGCCGCGGGCACTGGTCTGGCGGAGCGGCTCCTGGACGTCCCCTGCCCCGACACAGACTCGCGATCTGCCGGTGGTAGGAGCCGGTTCTGAGCTGGCGTCTGAGCGGCGGCGGGGTGGAAGTGGGGGCTGCCCAGTCCACCCCCACCCCCAGCCTCCTCCTCCTCCTCCGGCAGGAACTGAACAGAACCGCTTAAAGTCTGCATTTATTTAATATGATGGTCTTTGCAAAAAGGAAAAACAAAACAAATTTAACAGGCTGCTGCTTTGTAGAAAGACGGTGTGTGTCGTGTGAAGGCGAACCCCCGTGTATATAAGCCCGCCCCGCCGCCCCGCCCCGCCCGGTAGAGTCCCCGCTGCCCGCCCGCCCTGCCTGTAGATACGCCCCTCTGTCTGTGCTGTGAGAGTCGCCGCTCGCTGGGGGGGAGGGGGGGACACAGCTACACGCCCACTAAAGCACAGCACGTCCTGGGGGAGGGGGGCATTTTTTATGTTACAAAAAAAATTACGAAAGAAAAGAAATCTCTATGCAAAACGACGAACATGGTCCTGTGGACTCCTCTCGCCTCTGTTTCGTTGGCTATTTCTCTGTAATTCCGTGTTTTCGCTCTCCTCGTCTCTCTCCTCCGCATCTCTGCCCTCTCTCCGTCTCTGTCTGCCCTGCTTCTCTCCCCCTCCGTCTCTGTCTCTCCGTCTCTGCCCCTTCCTCGGCCTCTCCCCCAGCCCCGGCCCGGCCGCCTGGCCCACGCAGGCTAGCTGCGAGGCGGCAGCTCCAGCCCCGGGCTCGCCCCCACCCCGGCCGTGCCCCGCGCGCCCTGGGCCGCCGGCGGCCGGGCCGCCCCGCCCCGTAGTTGCTCTCTCGGTAGCGGCGATGCGCCCTGCATGTCTCCTCACCCGTGGATCGTGACGACTCGAAATAACAGAAACAAAGTCAATAAAAGTGAAAATAAATAAATAAAATAAATAAAAATCCTTGAACAAATCCGAAAAGGCTTGGAGTCCTCGCCCAGATCTCTCTCCCCTTCGAGCCTTTTTATTTGAAAAGAAAAACGAAAAAAGAGAATAGTTTAAGGGAACTGCCGGCGCCCGGCCAGGCTCCGTGGCCCGAACGGGGCAGCGAGGGCGCTGAGGTTCAAACTCCGAGGCCAGGCCCGTCCAGTCCCTGTGGAGCTGGCCGGGCAGGGGCCCCAGCCCCAGGACCCAGCCGAACCCTCGAGAGATCCCCTGACAGCTCTGGTCTCCTTAGCCACTTCCAGCGCGTCGGTTCGTTTTCTTTTCTTTTTCTTTCTTTCTTTTCTTTTCTTTTCCTTTTTTTTTTGTGCACATGAGAAATAAAATAATAATAATAAATAATAATAATAATAATAATAATAAAATTTTGTATGTCACTCCCCATGGCTCCAGGTCTGTCTCTCCCTGTCTCTGGGATAGGCCTCCCCTCACACTGTCGATCCCAAATAACCCGCTCAGTGACCCTCCCAACGGCACGCCCACTGCGACCGACCTCCCACCCTCTCGCCGAGACCCTCTCGGTGGCGGCCCAATGCAGGCGGACGCCCAGACGCCTGCGCCCTTCGCTCGCTACCCGCACCGCTCTCCCCGCCCTTGGGGCAAGGAGTTTCGCTTTCCCAAAACTTCAGAGTAACTTCGAGTTATGCGTCTATACCAGGCCGGTTCGGTCGCCCTGCCTCTCCACCCGCGCCAGATTTAGGGTTCAGGCTCTCAGAACGCGACCTCGGAGGCGCTCTCCCCACGGATGGGTATGTCCGCCGCGCCGTCTCCTTCCTCCGTTCGCCGCGCAACCGCAATTTTATCCCCCGAGTCCGCACAGAGACCGCGGAGACCGCACGCGCCCGCCACGAGTTTCCTCGCTGAGCGTTTACTTGAGGGCCGGACCGTGCCCGGCCCTGCGGAGCCCCAGGGACAACCTGCCGCCCACGGGACCTCGCGCGCCCTTGGGTTCGTCCCGGAGAGGGCGCGCGGGCGCGTATGCCTGGGTGTCGGTAGGTGGCTTCTATTTCTGTTTGCGTGGGTCTGTCCCTGGGGAGGGTCTGGTGGTGCGGAAGTAGGGAAACGGTTTTGTTTTTTCAGACACTCTTACTGTTCTTGTCCCCCGGTGTCCAGGGAACGATCTTGTGTGTCTGTACCTGTGTCTGTTCCTGCGTTGGGGAGGGATGGAGTGATTGTCCAGGATTGTCCAGGCTGCATCCGAGATATTTGGAAGGGGTCCGCCCCTCTATCTCTTCAGCAGCCTCCCAACTCCAGTCCTCCCACAAAGGCCACAGTGCCCACGTGGTGGCCTCTGCTCTTAGAGACTTCCTTTCTCTGCCCTGGGGAAACCTGTCCCTTAGCCCCCATCTCTGCCTCTTCCCACTTGAGAGAGGCTGTTGACACTCTGAGCTGCCAAGGATGGCAAACAAGGCCTGGAGGCTAAGGAGTGACCTTCTCCCTTGGCTGGTGTCTCCCAGACACCTCCTTCCCACCAGGATCCCAAAGACCTTTCTTTCCCCAAGCCCATTTGCTCAGCTTCACCCACATCATGGGACTTCAGGAGGATATGAAGGGTCCCCAACAAATCAGCAAGCCCCTAATCAAGTCTATTCCCTCTCTTCTCCCTCTCCACCTAGGTCTCCTCCCTATTCCCCATCTCATCAAATGACAGTCCCATTGTCCACCCTGCTCTGTGCTGCTCCTTTTGATCACGAGTCTCCTAGAAGAGTGGTCTTCAAACTTCTTTGATCATACACACTATCAGTAAAAAGAATTCTGAATGTGTACTCCCAATATAGGTATATTTACTTATGTACCAGTTCCATAAATATACTACTGGACTAACATTATGAATTTTATAGGACAAAAAATAGAAAAAGGATACGATTGGAATACATAGAAATAGAAGTTCTAATGTTCTCATCTCATGCCTAAATGGATAATTTTGCACTCCCTGGAAAATATACACCCCACTTCAGAGATCTTGCTTAGAATCCATCAAAACCCAACATGGCCGAACTCCTGGCTGTTGCCCGATACCCAGTGGGTGAGTTCCTGGAAGTTGTCAGGATGCTGTGTTGGCCCAGCCAATGCTGCCCTCATCATATGTGGCAGGCTACCTGGCCCCCAGTGCCTGGCTTTGCCTCTGGGTGCCCCAGACTGGGAACCCTGCCCTGCCCAACCCGTTAAATTGGAAGCCAGGGCCTTCCGTGGGCCCCACCAGAGCTCCTTACGTTCTGTTCTCTTTCTGGTCACCTTCAGACCAGAGTGGACAGCAAGGATCCCACGGTCTACAGTGACCACCTTTGCCCAGAAGCTTTCATGCTGTGTTGTGCCCCTCCTGAGGCACTGATTTCTGCTTGGAAATCTGAGGGCCCCCCAGGCATGTTCTGTACTCTTTGACCAGTTTTCTGTTCTAATTGCAGCCGCATTTACCCACCCCAAACACAGTAGGGCCCGCTTCAGTATTCCCCAGAACTCACCTAATTCTGACTCTGCAGGTCCTGTCCCCGCCCCACCCCCACAGAGTTCCCAGCTGAGGTACACCAAGTATGACAATTAGAAACAGATGAAGGAAGGTGTCCTGGGTTGAAGGAACAGCAGGAGCCAAGACATGGAGGCATGGAAATATACCAGATAAAATGTGGCTGGAGTATCAGGTGCATGGGGAGAGTCAGAGTGGGTAGAGAGAGATGGGAGGAGATGAAGCATCAAAGTAGTTGAGAGCCAGGACACTGGACTGGAAATGTCAAAATGATATCCATCACTTAACACGGCTCCTTTCGGAAAGCTGCCCCACTCCCAGCCCCTCCTGCCCGCGTAGACACCATATCTGTACTCTGCTACTAGAACGGGACTCAAGCACAAATCCAGGCCAAGCCAGTGAGGACCCGGCACGGGCCGCAGGAGAGAATGAGGACATTTCCCGAGGGAGCAAAGCCCAGTAGAGGCCCCGAGGGGATTCCCCAGCCTTTGTCACCTCAGTAAAGGACAGCTCCAGTCCACCACTCACTCAGGCCAAAAGCTCAAATCTGCCCTCTCGCCCCTGTCTTTCCCATCTCACATCTGAGCCCCCAGCACAACCAGACAGCTCTACTTTAAAAGAGGCACAGAATTGGACCACTTCTGACTACCTGCCCTGGACTGTCCTAGTCCAAGCCACCACACGATCCTTTAGCTAGGCTTGCAAAAGAACGTTCTAATTGGTCTTTCTGCTTCCATCTTTGCCCCACCCACCCCAGCCCATTCTCCCCATAGCAGCCAGAGTGATGCTCCAACATGTAGAGCAGATCATGTCCCTCCTCTGCTCGGAGCACTCCAGCGGCTCCCCTTCTCCCGCAGAGTCCAAGTCGGGACCCTAAAACTGACCTACAAAGCCCTGCGTGTTCTGGCTGTCTCCCCCTCGCCCCCACCCACACCCCTACCCCCAGCGCTGCTGGTAATTCACCTCCCATGACCTCCTTCAGCTCACCGAGCTCGGAGCTCGCTGGCCTCTGCACAAGCGCTTCAGTTACTCCAAGCATGAGCCTTCCCAAGACATTTGCGCTCGATGTGCCTCCCCCACCCCAGACCGCCCCTCACTTCTTTAAGGGCTCTGCTCCAAATTCCCTTATCAACAGGGCCTTCCCTGACCAACTTAAATGAACTAGTGCACACGCACCCTCACTCTGTTCCCTTCCCCAGCTTCTCCATAGTCTACTACGCCTGACAGATTGTGTTTTATTGGTTTCTGTCTTGTCCTCTCCCATTAGAATGGGAGCTCCACGAGGACAGATTTTTGTCTGATCTGTTTGCTGCTCTATCACCATGACTGGACAATGTCTGGCACAAAGGTGTTCAACAAATGATGATGGACAAATAAACGAATGGAGCGATGGGAACAGGAAATCAGGAGTAAGCAGAAGGCTGACGCAGGGGAGAGAAACAGAGAAGAGAGTGAGAGATGGTAGGAACCCTGAATCACCTGGAGGAGGACGATGACCAGCAGAGAGCAGCCGAGTGGCTAACGGAGGAGGTGAGAAAGGACAGATGCTGCTCCTACTTCTCTAGAAGCCCAGTGGTTTGATGTGATCACTGAACTCCTTAAACAACTCCCCCCATTACCTAGGGTGACTTTTCCTTACCACGGAAGCACCCACCGTTGTCCCCATGGGGGCATCAAGAAGTGCACCCCCTCATCCATTGGGAAACTGTCCCTCTACCTTCCTGTGTAGCTCTTGTGGGGCTGTCCGTCAGAGCACCCCATCAGCTCCTGACCACAGAGATGGGCCTGAGACCCACATCTGCCCAAAGGGGACCTCACATTCCTGTCCAAAGCACATAGTCCTCAGGTTAAGAGCAGAGTCCTCTCAGAAGGCTCATTACTGGGGACTGGAAGAGAGAGTTTCTCTTCTCTTGGACTGTCAGCTGAAAGGATTAAGGGCTTTGGACCCCTAAGGACGGCCCCCTACCACATGGAGAGGGCAGACCCACTCGGAGTCAGGCAAGAACACACAGAGCTGAGAGAGGTAGAGAGAAAAAAAGCTCTGGTGGTATTGTCCAAGCCTCTGGAGCCAGCTAGGCCAGAAACAAGACCGGCTTGGGACTTCCGGAGTCATAAACCAGGATATTCTCCTTATTTCACCTAAGCAGAAGTGTTGAATGTCTGTCCATTGTAGTCTAAAATGGTCTGACTTAAATAGTTCTGGAGTGCAAATGCCCTGTGAAGT